GGCAGGGCAGCTGCAGCAGCAGCCATGTCCTGCTGTGTCCCAGCTGTGCTGACAGGGAAAGCCAGACTGGGGCTGGAGGAGAATTCTGGAAKTGCTTTTCTGCTTGTTTAGACCCAAGGCTGTGTCATCTCTCAGCTGTTCCATGCAGCTGGGGCTGGAATGGCTGCCAGTGTCCAGCAGCCTTYAGAATATCAGCTCGTTTCAGTCTGCTCTCAAGGACAAGGCCAGTTGTACTGGTTCAAGACTTTGAAGACCCTCAACAACCCCTCAGAGCCTACCCTGGCTCAGGGATTAGATTGTAAAATGAATTAAGCTGTTGGAAGAGCTGTGTGGGTGAAACCAAAGGCCTCACAAGCAGCAGGGGTAGTGACAGGATCTTAGGGAGGTCTAAAAATGAGCAYTGGCAGGAGAGCTCTTGGGTTGGATCATTTCTTCCGATGGGAGCAAGGTACAGCCATCCCCACCCCTGGGCTGAGCTCTGCCATTCGTGCATTGAASCCAAATATCCCCGAGCCAGCCCACATCCAGGTGTCAAAAGGAAAAAAAAGAAACCCTCCAGGTGTCAAAAGGGAAATAAGAAACCAGCCAGGTAGAGGAGTGACCTTCAAGCCTGAAGGCATTTCTTGGGATGGCTTCTCATTTCTGTCATTTCTCAATGGAGTAGGATGTGTTCTTGGCAAGGAAAAGTGGTATCCGTGACTGGRAGTATGACTGGGGCTTGCAGAAATAATCTGAATTTGGACTAGTTATWAGACTGGTCTGTGCTCAGGCTTTATGGGAGGAAATATGGGCTCTGGGAGGATCTGGGAACATAAAATCCTCTCTTTTCCTCTTGGAAACCAGCATGTATCTGCTCACCTCACTGCACAGGGTGTTGTGAAGCCAGGCTTTGGGTATGGCTGGAGTGTGGAGGGTGTGTTGGAACTCAGTGACCTCCTTGCTGTGGGTGGGAGAGGTGGAGAGGCCCTCGGAACAGTGCCTGCCTGTGCAGCTCACCGGCTGCCGGAGACTGAGAATGTGCTGTGTTAGATCAGGTCTTTTTTGTGCTTCCAGAAGGCTCTCCCGACTGTCCCACACCCCATTCCTGGATCCTGGGAGTGCTGTCACCCGCAGTGGCCTGGGCAGCAGCAGCCACCCGGCTCAGTCCCTCCCGCAGGCAGATTTGCAGCGCAGCGTTTTCCGTGCCGGGGCTGTTTCCCGGAGCAGTTGTCACCGCGGCTCTCCTGAATCCCCCTTTGTTGGCAAAGCTCTTCAGCTGCTGCTGCCGCCCTTGGCTCCCCCGCTGCGGCCCGGAGCTGGCGGCCGTGTGAAAGCGGCTTCTGTGCGGGGCTTCTCTGGGGACCGTTCCCAGCCATCCCCTGAC